AATGACCTCAGCGTTGAGGAGAAGGTGAATATCAAGAGCAAGAACTTAGATGTTTTGTCAGAGTATAGCAAAGCGGAACGGAAGAGAGCGATGAATTTCGCGGTTATTGGTGAGTAAACTCAGCCCCCCAGCGTTTTTGATGGCATCGCCTGCTAATATCAGGATAGGCCATGTTGATGCGGGAAAGAGTACGTTGATGGGCCGTTTGCTTGCTGATTTGAAGGCGATCGACCAGCGCACGCTCGATAAATACAAGCGAGAGGCAGAGAAGATTGGGAAAGGATCGTTTGCTCTCGCCTGGGTCTTGGACCAAGGTGCGGAAGAGAGAGCGAGAGGGGTGACCATTGACATCGCCACCAACAAATTCGAGACGGAGAAGACGGTGTTCACGATTGTCGATGCTCCCGGCCATCGTGATTTTGTGCCCAACATGATCGCCGGTGCCAGTCAGGCTGACTTTGCCGTCCTTGTGATCGACTCCAGTATCGGCAACTTCGAGTCCGGGTTGAAAGGCCAGACCAAAGAGCATGCTTTGCTGGTGCGGAGTATGGGCGTGCAGAGGATCATTGTGGCTGTGAACAAGATGGACTCTGTACAGTGGGACAAAGAGCGTTTCGACGAGATTGAGCAGCAGGTCTCGTCCTTCCTGACGACTGCCGGCTTCCAGCCCAAGAATATCAACTTTGTGCCTTGCTCTGGTATCAGCGGCGATAATGTCACCCGACGCAGCGATGACCCGAACGTGTCGTGGTACCAAGGGCGCACCCTGGTTGACGAGCTTGAGGCCACGGAGCCTTACTCCCATGCGGTTGACAAACCCCTTCGAATGACGATTGGTGATGTGTTCCGTGGTAGCGTTCAGAACCCATTGTCGATATCTGGCCGCATAGATGCGGGTAGCTTACAAGTGGGCGATCATATCTTGACCATGCCCAGCGGGGAGACTGCCACCATCCGGAGCTTGGAAGTAGACGGAGAACCCAGTGACTGGGCCGTGGCGGGTCAGAACGTCGTCCTGAACCTGGCCAACATTGATCCCATCCACCTTCGATCGGGTGATGTGGTCTGCCGGGCGTCCGCGCCGATTGCCAATGTCACTTCCTTCACGTGCAAAGTGTTGGCCTTCGACCACCTGCTGCCTAGCATGGTGGACATCCACCGGGGTCGTCTGCATGTGCCGGGACGGATCAGTCGGCTCGTGGCAACTCTGGATAAACAATCTGGCAACATCCTCAAGAAGAAGCCCAAGATTGTGGCGCCAGGTACAGTGGCGCGGATTGTCGTGGAAATGGACCAAGCGGTGCCTCTAGAAGCGCCTACGCGGATTGTTCTTCGAGCCGGAGGCGAGACCGTGGCCGCTGGCTTGTTGGAGTAGATAGAAGCAGACGGTTATGACGCATGTAGATGCAGCATTTACTACACAGACAGTTCTTTATTTCTTCTACTTTTTTTCTGAAGTCCTAGGGGGTATACTGGACAATGACTCGTGCTGAGTATCCATGTATGATGTCCATTTTGCCAGCCTGGCCTGAACTAAATAGAGGATCTCGAAGATGCCACGACTGCCGCGGCCGTCGTAGTCCCTTCTAGACTAACCAGCCCTGTCAGACCCTGTGTCATCCTGACAAAACCAACTGAAACTGGCCTTAAGCGTCACGGACTCACGGGTCTTGGACAGAGTGGCCGCAACTGAAAGCAAGGGAAGCCGGGAAGCCTCCTGAGTGGAGAGGTATCCACTTTCCTCAAACTCGAGACCCTGGTGGCTTGTTTATGAGTCAAGGTGTTGATGATGAGGATGAAGAAAAGGCCGGAGTAGGGATAGTGGACAGCCACCCGACCCCGCGGACAGGATAAGGGGACAGTTGTCTGATTCCTGTAGGTTGATAGCAATGGAACGGCGCAAGAATGAGCGGAATGAGCAGGATTGGGACCGGAGAATACGGTCTCTAGTACTACACCTCCAGGCTAAATGACCAACTGGCCAGATCGGGACAAGTTCGAGTGTCTCCATGCAAGGACGAACCTCGGGAAGGCGGAGCAAGCGAACAAATCGGAATGCGATTCTAGCAAGTTCGACGAACCGCCTGGAAAATTGGGCTGGCAGAATCCCGGGCGGTGTTCCTGCATTGCTGAGTCAGCCAGTGCCCTGAACGCGCTCTCCACCAATCACAGCACGAGAAGTAACCTTAAATGCCATACCCGCGAAAAGGCCAGCATGGCCGCTGCGCTTTCTTTGCCGCCGCCATCCCATACAAGAAGGAACATACAAAGCTGGCTGAAGCTCCCTCCAGACATTCTTTCTTTCTCCTCTTCCCTCTCCTCGTCGCCTTTCTTTTCAACCAACCTCTCCCCCTCCCCCCTCTCTCCCTCCCTTTCTCCCTTTCATCTTCTTTCTTTTCTTTCTCTTCGCGTGATAGGTACACACTGTTGACGAGAGAAAAGGGAGTTCCACATCTTGTGACCTCGAAAAAAATATTGCTACGTGTCCTGTGGTGAGGACTGTAACTACACACATAGACACATACACAAACACACATACCTACCATGGCGCGCGTCTCCGCTCGCCAGAGTGCGGCCAAGCCCTTCACGGCTTGGACCACCGTTTTCTATCTGCTTCTTGTTTTCATTGCGCCTTTGGCTTTCCTCGGAACCGCACACGCTCAGGATGATTCGTCAGTACAAGACAACTACGGCACTGTCATTGGTATCGATTTGGGAACCACCTACTCGTGAGTTGATCCTATCGAAGGAGCATGTGCGGTGTTTGAGACGCGAACTGAGACTAACTGGACGACCTGCAGTTGTGTTGGTGTGATGCAGAACGGCAAGGTTGAAATTCTCGCCAACGATCAAGGAAACCGTATCACTCCCTCCTACGTTGCCTTCACCGATGAGGAACGTCTCGTCGGTGACGCCGCCAAGAACCAATATGCCGCCAACCCCCGCCGCACCATCTTCGACATCAAGTGAGTTTATTGTCTGGTTGATTGAGTGGAATCTATTGTGCTAATATGCTGTCTAGGCGTCTGATTGGTCGCAAGTTCGACGATACCGATGTTCAGAAGGACGCCAAGAACTTCCCCTACAAGGTCGTCAACAAGGATGGCAAGCCCGTTGTCAAAGTCGAGGTCAACCAGACCCCTAAGATCCTGACTCCCGAGGAGGTTTCCGCCATGGTTCTGGGCAAGATGAAGGAGATCGCTGAGGGCTACCTCGGCAAGAAGGTCACCCACGCCGTTGTCACCGTCCCCGCCTACTTCAACGACGCCCAGAGACAGGCCACCAAGGATGCCGGTGTTATTGCCGGTCTCAACGTCCTCCGTGTTGTCAACGAGCCCACCGCCGCCGCTATCGCCTACGGTCTGGACAAGACCGATGGTGAGCGCCAGGTCATCGTCTACGATCTTGGTGGTGGTACTTTCGATGTCTCCCTTCTGTCGATCGACGACGGTGTCTTCGAGGTCTTGGCTACCGCTGGTGACACCCACCTTGGTGGTGAAGATTTCGACCACCGTGTCATGGACTACTTTGTCAAGCAGTACAACAAGAAGAACGACGTCGACGTCCGCAAGGACCTCAAGGCCATGGGTAAGCTCAAGCGTGAGGTCGAGAAGGCCAAGCGTACTCTGTCTTCCCAGATGTCTACTCGCATTGAGATCGAGGCCTTCCACAACGGCGAGGACTTCTCCGAGACCCTGACCCGTGCCAAGTTCGAGGAGCTGAACATGGACCTGTTCAAGAAGACCCTGAAGCCTGTTGAGCAGGTTCTCAAGGACGCCAAGGTCAAGAAGTCTGAGGTTGACGACATTGTCCTTGTCGGTGGTTCCACCCGTATCCCCAAGGTCCAGGCTCTCCTGGAGGAGTTCTTCGGTGGCAAGAAGGCCAGCAAGGGTATCAACCCCGACGAGGCTGTCGCTTTCGGTGCTGCCGTTCAGGGTGGTGTTCTGTCTGGTGAGGAGGGTACCGGTGGTGTCGTTCTGATGGACGTCAACCCCTTGACCCTCGGTATCGAGACCACTGGTGGTGTCATGACCAAGTTGATCCCCAGAAACACCGTCATCCCCACCCGCAAGTCTCAGATCTTCTCCACCGCCGCCGATAACCAGCCCACCGTTCTCATCCAAGTTTGTAAGTTGAATCGTGTTGATGTTTTGGTCCGTCGGATACTAACTGGGTTCTAGACGAGGGTGAGCGTTCCCTGACCAAGGACAACAACCTGCTCGGCAAGTTCGAGCTTACCAGCATTCCCCCCGCTCCTCGTGGTGTTCCTCAGATTGAGGTCTCCTTCGACCTCGATGCCAACGGAATCCTGAAGGTCAGCGCTAGCGACAAGGGCACCGGCAAGGCCGAGTCCATCACCATCACCAACGACAAGGGCCGCCTGTCCCAGGAGGAGATCGAGCGCATGGTGGCCGAGGCGGAGCAGTTCGCGGATGAGGACAAGGCCATCAAGGCTAAGATCGAGGCCCGCAACGGACTGGAGAACTATGCCTTCAGCCTGAAGAACCAGGTCAACGACGAGAACGGGCTGGGTGGTCAGATCGACGAGGACGACAAGCAGACCATTCTGGATGCTGTCAAGGAGGTGACTGACTGGCTGGAGGACAACGCTGCCACTGCCACCACGGAGGACTTCGAGGAGCAGAAGGAGCAGCTGTCCAACGTGGCGTACCCCATCACCAGCAAGCTGTATGGCTCTGCCCCGGCGGATGAGGATGACGAGGCGTATGGCCATGACGAATTGTAAAATAAGTTATTCTTAGAGGGATTGTTTAAGGAGTTTGCATTGCTTGATTGTTCAAGACCAACCAACCTTTTGGTTTGATAGTTTAAATATGATACCTATCCTAGATGCTCTCATCGATGCTCTCTACTTAATCCGTTACTTGAATGAATAGAGTAAGACTCCCAGACTGAAAGTCCGACTGTATTTGAGTTTGATAGTCCATTCATACAACCTTCCTTATACTGAATACTGTAGAGGCATCCCCCCTCGAGATTTAAGCAGAAGACACCTCTCCCCCACGACCCTGCGAAATAAACTCCCGCACCACATCGACAATCACCTGATGATCATCCTCCTGCTTCAACCCACTGACCACAATGACGCCCACCACCCCATCCACCCCGCGCACCCGCACCGGGAACCCCCCACCATGAATGGCATAATCATCCGCCACCGCCCCGCCATTACTGGACCGCAGCGCATATTTCTTGACAAACGCCGCCTCCACCCCTCCCTTCTCGGCGTCCGCCAGCGTGGACAAGAGCTTGTTGCGCATCAACCAACTGCTCACCCCCCAGCGCAGCACGGTGTTCCGCTTCCGGCGCACCCACACCTCGTTGTCCGGGATCGTGCCGGGCTCCGTGGCGCACTGGAAGACGACGTGCGGCGGGACCGGTTGGTTGTCGGTGAAGGAGGAGGGTAACGGCGCCGTGGTCAGCGTGATGCTGATGAGGGCCGGCTTGCGCGACGAAGCGGGTAGGCTGAGGATCCGGTCCCGGAGGGCCAGGCCCAGGTTGAAGGCGGTCGTGGCGGTGAAGGTGCTGAAGATTAAGGCGGGGGAGGTTTCGTGGGCGGTGAGGGTTATTGGCTTTTTCTTTGTTAGTTTTTTTTTTTTTTTGTTTTTTTGGGATGGAAAGGGCGGATTGGGGGTGGGGGGTTGGGGATTGGGATGGGGGGTTTGAGGGGCTGGTAACGTACGTCGGTGCTGACTTGAGTGAGGGGTCGGTCTTCCATTTTGGTGGGTGTGGTGGTTTTGGATTGGTTTGGGTCTGGGTATAGGTTCATGGTAGATTGGTGGTGAGGGTTTTTTGTTTGGAGGGTAAGAGGTGAAGTCAACAGTGACAAGCTGGGATGGGGGGTTTTATACCTATTGTACGGAGTACCGGTGTCCCGTCTCCACGTCCCAGGCCTGCATCGGGGTTCGCCCGCGGGGAATTGCTAAGAGAAAGGCAGTAGGAGTAGTTAGGGAGGAGGGAAGGTCCAACACGAAGAAAAGTGGATCAGGGCCGATGACGTCGGAGTTGCGGTTCCGCGGTTCGGGATTGGAAGGTGGACTTTGTTCTGGTCTTCGGTGAGAATAGAGAATTGTGTGTATATGTGTTTATGAATAGTGCATCTAGTAGTGTAGTATGTGGTAAGTTAACGTTAATGTGTAGTACTAGGGAACGAAAGGAAAGGAAAGGAAAGGAAAGGGTGCATAGTAACTATCATCTGCATTGCTCCGCTTCTTCCCCTCTCTCCTCTCCTCTCCTCTCCTCTCCTCTCCTCTCCTCTCCTCTCCTCTCTCCTCCTGTCTCCTCCTGTCTCCTCCCCTCCCCACAACGCTTCGCTCAATCATTTCCGGTAGCAATGCGCCACCTCGTCAAAAAAGCCTGTGATAAATGCATTGCCCGCAAAATCAAATGCAGCGGCGCTCGTCCCTGCGACGCTTGTCGCCAGAATCCCAAGGAGGTCATTTGCACCTACCTCAAGCCCGTCCGGCGCAGAGGTCCCAAGGTGCGACGATTGTCGACTCCGCAAACACATGCAGCCCCCCAGTCCCCAAGTCCCGACGATGCTCCCCCAAAGCACCGCACTACAGTTCCTCTGGTAGCGCTGGCGTATGTTGTTCAGCTATACCGGCAATCCTCCTACAGCGTCTGGCCGGTCATCGATGCCCCCGCCCTCCTCGAGAAGCTCAAATCAGCACCGCCAGTCGACACTCTTTGTCTAGCTCTGGCCCTCTCTGCCGCCACCATGGCTCAGTTGCAACTGTCACCACTGCACACTTCAAACGTCACCGTCGACTGCACGACCCTGGCAGCCGAGTGCATGAGGCTGCGGGACGCGAGCTCCTATCGAGAGCGCCCCGACGTGCGAAGTGTCCTCGCTTCGTTCTTCCTGCATGTGTACCACGCCAAGATCAACCGACGCCACACGGCGATGACCTTCATACAGGAGGCCATCGGGGGGGCTCGGCTTTTGGGTTTGGATGCTGGGGGCATGGCCTGCGATTATGATGTGGTTGCCAACCAGGAGGTGGTATTTCTCCTGCTCTGGATCTCGGAGAGGTAATGGTGCTGTCTGCCGGAGGGTTGCCGTTATTGACCGTTCGCAGGGGCTATGCTATGCATCTAGGGCTACAACCGTCCTATACGCTTCCCGTCGTGATCCCTGATCTCGGTTCCGAGGGTAGTGCAGAGGTGAAGGGCTTACTGCAGCTGGGCCGGCTGTTTGCAACCTTCGATGTGACCTGCAGCGGGCGTGAAAGTGCAAGCACTCCAGAGTGTCTGGCAGAGGCCGAGGCAACATTGGCAGTAGTATCTCGAGGGCAAGAGGGTGGCCCGTCAACGCGTCGGGCGGACTACTGCATCACTAAAGAATGGATGCGCACGATGATCTGGCAGAAAGCACTGTCGCAGCGGCTGCTCTCGTCGACTTCTGGTACGGAGCTCATGACCTTCCGCTTTCCTGCAGTCGTCGGCCGTTCTCTCCTCTGCTCTCTGCAGGGGTTTACCGAGTCGGACCTGCTCCCATTGGGTCGGGATCAGGTAAGCTCTGTCTGGTTCAAAGATCGGGAATCACGCTGAGAGCGGGCAGTTGTTGAAGTGCTTCGAGGTGACGAACTCACTAGCAGATATCATCCTGCTGGCTGGGTCGAGCGCAGTGCACTCGACCTTGCAGTGGAGGCCGCAGGACTTTCTGCATGCTTTGTACCAGAAATTACTGCCCTACCTGGAGCAAGACCCCATGCTGAAGGCATTGCTCCGGGCTAAGACTGCTGAAGCTTTGGTCAAAGCTCCTGCGCGTTTGTTGGGCCTCGGGCATGGTGATAACAGGCTTGAAGAGCAGATCTTGAGCTGTCAGACGGAAGAGTCTGAGGAAGCTAATGTGGAAGATTTCTTCACCACTCCATGCCGGATTGAATCGATCATCTGATTTGAAGTGGCTGTCTACCTATGCTGCACAGAATATTCACACCTTCAGCAAGATGCTGGCTCACTCTGATATCTGGAGCACAATCCTCCCCGCAATATCGCCCTTCTCCATTTCCTCATAAACTTGAGGCAAATCCTTGAACGGTCTGACCTTGATCTCAGGCTTCACCACCCCGCGACGGACTAGAACCACTGCCTCCATACATTCTTTCAGTGATCCGACCAGGTTGCCGGTGATCCGAAGCCCTTTGATCACAATGGTGGCGATCGGCGTTTGCAAGGTTGGCCGCCCTGGCGGGATTCCCACACAGCTCAAAGCCCCTCCGACTCGTAGCATCTCGCACGCATGAGCGAAAGCTTTGGCGCTGCCTGCTGTTACTACTGCGGCATGTGCACCAAGTCCAGTGATCTCATTGACGCGCTGAACCGGGTCCGTTGTGGTAAAGTCAATGAATTCGACAGCGCCCAGCTTGAGGACAAAGTCCCGCTTGTCACCGGCATCTACGCCAATGACAAGTGCTCCTTGTGCTTTCGCATATTGCACTAACCAGTCAGCATTCTATGAGGATGCTCTGCTCCGATACAACTCACCTGCCAAGTGCCCGAGGCCTCCCCCTGCGCCGACCACCACTAACCAATTGCCCGCCCGGATGTTTGCATTGAGAACAGCCTATACAGTCAGCGATATACTTGTGGCGAGTGAGGTGAAGTACCTTGTAAGCCGTCACACCAGCGCACAGAACGGGGCCAATGACTTTAGGATCGATATCATCCGGCAGGATCGTCAAGTAGTCAGCATCCAACGCGATGTACTCCTGGAAGCTTCCATCCTCATGATGGAGATGGTTGGTGCTTTTGATGCAGTACTGCTCGGTTCCAGCCAGACAAAACTCGCATCGTCTGCAGATCCGACTTGAGAATCGTATTCCGACAAGCCCTCCGACCTTTAGGTCTGTTCCACACCCTGGGCCGAGCGCCACAATCCTTCCCACGCCTTCATGGCCGCCCACATGGGGGATCTTGATGTTTGTGATGGGTGTGCCCTCAGACGAGGCAGCTGTGCCGTTCTTTGTGTGCAAGTCTGCATTTCATGGATTTTAGTATGGGGTTATCATCGAAACGATGTACTCACCACTCTGGCAAACCCCTGTGTATAGCACTTTGGCTAGAACCTCATTGTGGCCCGGTGTAGGAACGGGGTAGTCCTCGCGGAACTCGACACTGCCCCCGAGTTCGTTGACCAGAGCTACGGTCTGGGTTTGAGGGATGGATTCCACGGTCATTGCTGTTTCAACAAGAAGATTGTTTAGTATGAGCTGACGGTGAGAATGTGTTCTGGTGGGAGGTTTAAGTAGACCTGGCGGTCGTCAAAATTTGAGCTTCAACCGGGTTCGATTCTGCGACCTATGATGCTATTTCTCCGATTGGCTTGTCTTTGCATTGATTGAGCTCTGCAGACTGTGTATTTCTCCGAGGGGCACAAGCATTGCACGCGGAGAAGAGATCAAGTCACGGGATAGTTGATGGTTGCTTGCTTTGTCTGTTCGTGTTCTTCCCCGCCTTTTACTCTTCTCCTCACCCCATGCACATCATACTCCTTTGCCATCTACCAATCTATCTATGGACTACCCCTCACGGTGGCTAGATGCATGCATCATGCAGCAATTCTCCGAGGGTTTTCTCCGGTTGCCTTACCAAGCAATGACAAGCGTTGTGCATGCTGTTCAGGACTACTTTTGGAGTCTTGTCTGGCTCTTCACCCCACACCCTACGCAATGGTTCGAGATTCCAAACTTGGATGCTGCGATAGCCACTTGAATTAATGGCTCTCTTTTGACCTGAGCGGTTTCTCCGTCGCCTTCAACCCTCATTGTCATAGTTAACAATGATTGTCTCCACAGCTACGATTGTCTCTAACACAAGCCATCAAGATGCCAGGCTTGCCTTGCGACTATGGGTCATACATCTCAGCTCGATCTACTCAAACTTCGACAATCTATGTCGATGTCTTCAGTTCGCCGTCGCTTCGGGTTCAATTTTGTTTTCTTCAGCTCTATCATTCGACAAGGCACATGGCTGAGACGAACGTCAGCCCCTCTAGACACAATGAATATAGTGGGCTTTTTCAGAGCTGTACAAAGCATAAGGCCTACTTCGAAGGGATCCGATCCGGGACAGCAACTTGACAAAAAGGTTGGCTCTTTGTCAAATCAAACAATCTTATTGTCCTTCCTCGGTTGATCAGTGTTTATCAAGAACTAACGACAGTATATAGATCAATCCCAGTTTACAGGCAATCATGGAGAGTATAAATGCTACGCTACAGAAGCACTCTGCCTCGCCGGCCCATACTTCCGTCGCCATCTCCCTCACACCTCTGTTATTGACACCTCTTCCGACACCCTTCTGGCGCCTTTACGCATACGTGTTGTAGAAATCCCAAAATGGAGTCTAGTAGACCTGCAAACCCCCCCAATCCGGAGTCGGGCGAGTCGGCCCCTCCCCCCCATCTGGAGAATATGCCCGTAGAGCTGTTCTGGCAGATGGCGCAGCACCTCCCGGTTGAAACCCTGACCAGCCTCCGCACAGTATCCCGGAAGGTAAGCGCCAAGGCACTGCAGCCCTTCGCGCAGTGCGGCTTGCGCACTCTGTCGATGACCCTCGATGCGCGGGGCTACGACAAGGTGGACGAGATCGCCAAGCACGAGTTCTACCACAGATTCCCCCAGCGGCTGGCCGTGTATCCGCCGGAAGCCCCGTGCGACAGCTTCTGGACGGATGCGGCGCTGCGCAAGCTGGGCCAGACCCTGGAGCACCAGCTGGCGCGGTGCCGGGAGATGGTGCTCTACTACGGCGCGCCGGACCAGGCGGACCGGATGGACGACATGCTGAGCCTGCACGCGCTGTGCCGCATGCTGGCCGTCAGCCAGATCCCGCTCCGCTACCTGGTGCTATTCCGGCGACAGGCGCCCGAGCGCCGCGCCATCCAGCTCCTCGACTGGCCCCAACCGTACCTGCCGCCAAACATCTCGGGCATCTGGACCGAGCTGCGCCAGCTGCACGTCTACGAGCCCGAGGACAACGGCGCCATCGAGTACCTGCGGGTGTTACTGCCGGAGATCCTGCAGAACGCTTCGCAGCTCGAGGAGTTCAAGCACGTCGTCTCGCCGCAAGTGTTCTTTCGCTCCTACGTGATCCCCCTGCGCTGCGCGATCTGGGCCGGTGAGGATCCGTCGCTGCGTGCGCCCGCGCCGCTCAAGCGGGTCGAGGTCGCGGGCTCGTACATCAACCTCGAGGACCTGATGGAGTGGCTGGGAAGGTACGGCCCGACGCTGGAGCGCGTGCAGATCTGCGTGACGTACGCCCACGGCAGTGCTACGCTGTGGTCGGAGGTGCTGAAGCATATGAAGGAGGTCTGTCCCGTGCTGCAGTATGTGTCGGTCGTGACGTGCCGGCGGTCGCTGGGCTGCGTGGAGTCGGAGGACCGGGGCCAGATATTGGAGGCCTTGGACCGGATGATTGAGACGGCGGAACATGCGGGCATTTAGGTTGTAGCCGTGTTCGTAGCCGTATTTCGTAGCCAGCTTTGAAGCGACGTCACGGATGTAGATCGTACCTCCTTTGCCGTATTTCATACATCAACATGATTGAGACTGATCACAACTCATCACAATTCGCTCTCTCGTCTCTTGTAGAAGAAAGTATTGCATTGTAAATTCGTAGCTCGCGTCTCCTTTCTCCACACATCCACATCTTGCTTACTGTAATGTCCCAACAGCTCAATATCAAACCAAGACTGAACCACAATCCATTCCTTCAACCAAAGACTATAGTACTTATCAATCTCCCTCTCCAACCTATACCCACCCCTACCCCTACCCCTACCCCCAACAATGAACAAACAAAGAATCCAAATGTAAACCCCCATAACCCAAACAAACAACACACCCCCCTCCCCCACTCCCCAAGACCATCCCCCATCCCCCATCCCCCCCAAAACCCCCGCTAGATAAAAAGAGAAGAAGAATCAAACACAAACCCCCAACCCCACCCCCACCTCCGCCCCCACAACCCTCACCTGACTACCCCGGGGCGGCACCCCATCCTCCCACACAATCATCTCCGACGCATTCCCCGGTGGCGGCGGTGCAGTCCCATTCCCATTCCCCGGCCCCATCGGCCCCAGCCGCACCCGAACCCCCCTGAACGGATCCCCAAACACATCCGACAGATCGAACCACACCTGGCCCATCCGCTCGAGGTAGTTGTACGCGAAGATGGTCTGCGGCGCGCCCGTGTACAGCCCGTTCGGGACGGTGGTGAGCTTCAGGCTGATCCCGCCGGTCTGCGCGTCGTGGCGGTAGGGTTCCGTCCAGGTGGTGTTTTGGGGCAGACAGGTTTCCGGGGGTGTCGTCGAGGAGACTGGCGTTAGGTAGATGGGGAAGGGGCATGCGTTGTGGATTGTGGCGTTGGCGGGTTTGATTTGGGAAGTTGGGAGGGGGGTTGCGGTTGTTGTTGTTCTTGTTGTTGTGAGGGGGAGGAGGAGGAGGAGGGTTAGAAGGTGCATTTTTGGAGGTTGGGGTTGGGTTGAGGGTTTGGGGTTATAGGGAGGAGGTGAGAGGGTGGTTGTGTGCTTGTTGTGTTGAAGGTTGGTTGGTTGGTTGGTTGGTTGGTTAGGGCTTGGTGGTGGAATGAGGTGTATAGTTGTGTATTGTGTATGAGCTGGAGGCGAAGGTGTTTATATAGCTTCACTGTAGCGTACGTATAGCTCATTTTTTCCAGTGAATAGTGTATGCGTATGCTATACAGCTGGACACGTCGGACGGCTCGGATCACTGTGCGATTCTACTCATGTACGGTTACGACATGGCCGACGTCAGTTGTAACTGTCGGTTCGACTGTGCTCCTTCATCGGTTGTACAGAAGCTCTAGTGGAGTACAAGCATAGAAGTGTGGGGCAGAGTATAATAGAAAAGGTAAGCAGCATCTAAGGTGTCTTTCCAATGAAAAGGTACAGTCTAATGTACACTGTGCAGCAGCGAGTCTAGCTCTAGCTATGCATCTATACACCCTACACATCTATCACCGCCGACATGCCCAACGGGATATTCCCCTCGCGCGCGACCACCTGCATCGACCGACTCGTCAGCCCGCTCAAATGCACCGTCGTCTCGAACCCCGCCCGCGGCACGCTCTTCACGAAACTCGCCTCCCCGTCCGTCGCCACCTCGTAGATCGCCCAGTTGTCATACTCTGTGGCCCCGTTCCAGCTCATCGACACCGTCGCCTGGTCGTCCGACGTGCGGATCGCCACCACCGCCGGCGGCCAGAACGGCGTCGCCTTCCACGGGCACTTGAACCCGCGGTACGAGGCCACCGCGTTGTCCTCGCCAAACTGCGCCGTCAGCACCGCCCGGCCCTGCGCGTCGTACTCCTTGACCCGCGCGATCGACCCGTACCCCAGCACCACATGCCCGGACTCCGGGCTGAGCAGCTGGAAGCTGCCCTGGCTGACGCTGTGGATCACGTCACCGGCGTCCGACAGCGCGCGCAGCGTCGACACCTTGTGGGCGACCAGGTCGACGTAGAAGCTCAGCCCCGTCGTCGCCGCCACCGTCTCCGTCGGCGTGTTGGCGTTGTTAAACAGGCTCAGCACCATGCCCTCGGCCGTCTGATTGTAGACGCGGATGTCATGCTGCCACGAGAAGGCCGCCTTGTCGTCGATCTCGAAGTCGCCCGTGTTCTTCTCCCCCTGGACGAGGTTAGACCTCACACATCGAAGGAACTCAACTCAAGCACGAAGATCAGGATGCACTTACACTAAGCCGCCACATCACCGTGCCATTATTGTGAATGTAAAACCCGGACCAGTAATGCCGCAACGAGATGATATACCCCTCGTCCATCAACTCCACCGAATTGATATGATACGCATCCCACGGCTTCTCCTTGGTGCCGTACTCGGCGCCGAGCCCCTGCTTCGAGATCTCCAACGGAATCTCCGCGAGATGCTCCAGCGCGCTCCACGCATACACGATCTCATTCGTGGCGATGTCGATTTCAAAGAACATGCCGTCCAGCATGTAGTCGTCCGGCGCGCCCCCGATGGCCGTCAGGTCGTGCTGCGTGACGTTGTACGCGGTCACCAGCAGCGTATTGCGGTCCGTGATGTGGCTCTCGTGGAGGTCGATGTACGAGTCGCGGGGCTCCGCGAACGGCGACACGAAGTTGCCCCCCAGCGTCACCGTGTAGATCTCCCGGTACGTGTTGTCGAGGATGTGCACCGTCCCGTACCCGAACCCCAGGTCCGTCATGTCCCCCGCCCAGAACGTCAGCACGTCCTCGTTGTACAGCCGCTGCGTCCGGAAGTTGGCCGTCACCTCCGGCGGGCCCTCGTACACCAGCTGCCCGTCTTCGTCGTAGATCAGCGCCGCCGTCCCCAGCCCTTGGTTGCCCCGCGGCCCGACGAAGATGTACCCCGGGTCCGTGGCGCCGGTCTTGGTGACTTTGAGTTGGGGGGGCAGGAACGCCGCGGTTCGGTATCCGACATACGGGAAATTGTCGGCCGCGGTCGGGGGTGCAAGGAAGAGGAGAAGTTGCAGCGCCGCGCTGCTGGCGAGGGCGAGTGTGCGGATCATGCTGGTCGATTATCGATCATCGGCGATTTGTGGGTATGTTGTATATACAGACGGTTATACGGGGGAGGGGGGTAAAAGAGTGTATCCCCAGAGGGCGGAGGGAAGGACTGGTCGAAAGAATGACAGAAGTCAACTGTAGAGAAGATAGCGACGGTCAAGAAGAATATAAAACATCGCAGAAAGCGGGGGGAGGGGGCAAAGAGATATTAAAACAGGGACGGCACAGAGAAGGGAAGAAGAGGAGGGACTGGCCTCAAGGCAGTATAGTTGAGTGGACTCGATTTGTCGGATCATCCCCCGGGCGGTGATGGTTCTTGCCTGTTCCGGTAGGCGGAGAGGGGGCTAGACCCCTTGATTGGTGGTCGATGGCCACCGGACGCGCAATGGATTGTCCTCTTAATCTCCTGTCTTCCATTTCGGTTAATTGAGGCTGATCATGCAGCACAATCGTTTATTGATGGATTTGGACCCTTGGCGTATGTTGCAGGAAGGCAGGCACTCGATATTACTGCATGATGTTGGATAACATTGATTAGTGGCTTACAATTCAGCAGTGGAATTGACAGCTCATGTCCGGCAGGCTTTTCCTAGCCGCCCATGAAATCATTAATCACCACTTCAGCAGCAGCAGCACAAGACTTACGTATCCCATGTTTTCTGGCTTATTCTCGCTATATTTGGATGATTGCAGAGTATGTTCAATGTCAAAACCATGGCATTGAACAGTACGTCTTCACGTGGAAGAGTAGATCGACGGTAACATTACCAGCATGCCCTACGCATATTGGAAATTCAAGCGACCGAATCCTTCTGATAACAACGATGTCTCGACAAATGCAATCCGAGTCTATAATTAATTAATCTATATTTCACGTCGATCATTATATACATCCCAGAAGACAAGGCAATCCTTAAAGACACATATACAGACATTTAAGCCTTGCACATACGGCCCGACTCCGACACGGTCCAGTACTCACTGCCCACACCCTTGAGAACATAGAACACGTGGTCAGGATCCCACTTGTTCTTGATCTGGGTCAGGTTGTCGTAGTTGGAGCCGAAGAAGGTCTCCTGCCAGTTCAGCTGGTTGAAGTCCGCCTCGTTCTGGTAAGCACCAGCGCCGGGAGTGGCGGCCTCGAGCTGCGGCACAGCCTGGTGGGTCATCTGGTACTGCTCCTCGACCATCTGAGACCAAGGGGCAGTCTCGTTCCACGCAGCACCAATCTGCATGGTCACGGCCGCCTTGCGCCACTCGGGGAAGATAGCGTTGGCGACGTCGTTGGAGCTGGTCACGTTGAGACCAACTCCGACAGCGATGATACCCTCGCTGGTGATGTTGCGGAGAGCAGAGACCAAGGGAGTCACGTTGGAGTCCAGAACAGAACGGGGGATCAGGCGACCACCATAGTTGTAGGTACCAACATCCAGGTTGCCGTAGGGAAGAGGACCCATGTACTTCTCGTAGTGCTCATAGTACGAATCGTACTCGGTGTAGGAGACAGCATAAGTGATGCCCAGGTCGGTCAGGGCGGAGAGGAAAGGTGCAAGGATGGTCTTCACCTCGTCGGTGGTCTTGTTGAAACCGGTCAAAGGGTTGATCAGGAAGATGCTGTTGGTCATCTCGTAGATGACGGTGGTACCGGCATCGATCATAGCGGGCAGCAGCTCGTGGAAGCGAGCGACGGCCTCGAAGAAGACGTCAGTAGTGACGTTGGCCGCGGTGAACTGAACGCCAGCACCGGAAACGGTGGCATCGGGGTAGGCCTTGACGGTAACGGACAGAACAACACCATAGTTACCGGCACCACCACCGCTGAGGGCCCAGTAGAGGTCGGTGTTGTTGGTGCGAGACGCTGTGACAACATCGCCAGCAGCGGTGGCGACCTCGAAGGACAAAGACTGATCGGCTCCCAGACCGAACGAGGTGCTCAGAGCAGAGTGACCACCACCCTGGAGATAACCTCCGGCAAGACCGACGGTGGGACACTCACCACCAACCACAACGTGGCCGTTGGCGTGGACAGCATCGAGAACCTGGAATCCCATGACACCGCTACCGAGCTTGTAGGCAGGGCCAGTGTAGGTGGAATCGGACCAGTCAACATACTCAATGTTGTTCAGGTGGTGGGTCCAGATGGCCAGAGCACCAGCACCGGTGGAACGACCAAGATAGCTAACGCTGCTGTTAGCCGTGGATCGTCATATGTCATCGTGCAAACAAACTTACTCATGGCCAGTGTTCCGGATGACGATACGGATGTTGTTGGACTTGGCAAAGTTGATAGCCGCAACAACCTCATCGCTAGACGAGACGTTGACGGCATAATCCACATAGTTGCCAAGCAGGCAAGGTCTATCCACGGAGGTGAAAGGATCGCAACTCTGGTTGGCGAAGTAGGTTTGCATCACAGACGAGGAAGTGTCCATGCTGTAAAGCGGCGTGGAATTAGCTTTATTGATGCGGCAAGACGTGTGCATGTCCTTGAGGGGGGGGGTGTAAACTTACTGGGTCTGCGGGTAGTACCAGTTGCTCTGCAGCTCCTTGCACGCGGCAGCATCGTAGTTGGGAGCATGGCAAGGAGTACCGATGGGAACAGTCGCAATCAAGCGACCGTTCACCGTGCTGTTCAGAGTATCCCAGCTGGAAGTGGAGGGCCAGCAGTCATCACCAGGCAGACAGTGGCAATCGCTGGCGTCGGTGGCGGAGACCGTGGAAGTGAGAGCAGCAGTGGCTGCTGCCAAAGCCCAGGAAGCCTTCATTGTGAGGACGAAAAGTAGAAGGACTGCTAGAAGATTGACTGGGATGTAAAGTTGAAGATGATTAAGGGAGTAGAGGTACTTTATACTTCTAGTTGGTGAGTACTAAACGGACAGACCATATCACGATCCATCCAACGAGCTGAGCTATTGGAAGCAGGCCATCTCGGAGATGTTCCCTAAGAGCGTTTAGTTCGAGGGGAACGGAGAATAGTGGGGAAGATCCGTGGTGCGATGCAGGCACAGCCAGGCAGAGAATAATGTTGCAGGAGTCAGGTTAGTGAGTTAGTGAGTTTAGTGAGTTTAGTCAACCGAAATCAACCAGGAGAGAGGGAGTGGTAGAACCGAGGACCGTAGAGGAAGAGTCTGGATGGAGCCTGGAGTCTACCAGTAGTCTAGTTCGATAGCGGAACTCAGGCCAGAAGGTGTACCGCAGCTCGGCAAATCGGAAGTCGCTCAACTGGATGGATGCAGGCTAACTGGAAGAGGCAAAGTGCCGCACTCGGCCTGGTGGGGACAATTTCCAGTGGTGACCGAGGTCTGCCAGTGCCCACCTGGCTGGCACTCACTGTCTGTCCACTGCAGTGTCTGGCTCACTGGCTCTGCTTCTTGCCTCCATCCATTCCATCTTTAGCTTCCTATCTCTATCTACTCTCTCTCACTCACTCTCTCGCTGTGGCACTGTGCCAAGGAGCCATCAATTGCCAAAAATCCACTCTTTCATCCCTCCGCCGCCTTCCGAGCCCTACAATTGGCATGCTGCCATAATAGGCTTTACACCATTCCAAAAGCCAAACTCCTTGGGCGTCATTGGTGGCTGCTGGCTACTACTAGCTAGGGCTTCTCTTTCACCATCCGGCTAAGGCGGGCTTGAATTTCATCCGGTCATCCCTTGAATAATAGTTTTATCGGTTTATCGGTCCCGACACCCGCATTGGGCAAGGCACCTGTCTCACGATGCTAGACCACAACTTCCAGCTGCTCAGCGCCAGGACCTTCTCTTCGTGTTCACGTTCAGGGGTAAAGAGATTTTGAAAAACCATGGTCAACATATCTCTACTAATGGTAGCTTCCCTCTGGGCCACGTACCCATAGTCACGGACTTCCGACTGACAGCGGAAAACTTCCAAGCGAAAGAAGTCACCGATGTGTCTGCCTACCAGCTGCCGCATTCTCGACCTTGACCCACCACTGCTCTTTTCTCCTCCTCCCCCCTCCCACACTTCTCCATGGACCCAGCATCCTGTCGAAGCCAACGCTTGGGGCAAGGGATCATCCAGACTGGAGGCAGACACTGCAGATCGAACACACCGACTAAAAGACTAAGATTTAACTTAGTTGTTAACGGCGCCCTAAAGATAGACTAGATTGGCGTCATTTGCGCATGGTTACTGGATTCAATGCCATGTGGTAGTGATGATCATTTCTGCAGGGGGGAGGTTAAAGTTCTCATCTCCTCGTGGTGACTGTGTCCACAAGCGTGGCGCTAACCCAGAAGCCCAGAAGCCCAGAACCACTAGACTACTATCGAAGTGACCGAACCTGACCTGCCCATCGATCGGACCATGCCGCCCATTGGGAAAGGGACCGCATTACCGCTGGGTTGCAGCTGCCATGCTGGAGTTACATTGGCTGTGTCGGAACTTGGAAGGGAAGGGTTAGACTCAGAAATTGGAGGAGGAACGAAAATTTTGGCTGGGTGCTCGCCAATCCGCCACGGTTCTCTGGCAACGCCAATCTTAAATTATCTTAACTACTGCCATGGCTGCTGTTGGCTGATGCCACTGCAGTGCTTCGTATGCTTACTGCTTGCTTGTCTTCGCCAAGTCACCGTCGACAGGGCCACAAAACCGTATTTCCCCTGGACCCGAAAGCTTTTAAAACTGCAACCCCAAATTCGGCATTTCCAACCCTCCGGAGATATATCTACCTCGTACCTGGCACTGAAGCAATGAGGGTTGCCAGGATGTGCTCCTTGTCAAGATGAGTTCCGACAGTTCTTCGAATGCCGGCCCGGCCCTGTTGAGTGGTCTCTGGGCGGCCGTCGGCATCACCACATTCATCCTCATTCTCCGCATCGCTGCTAAAATCAAAATTCGTCACTTCCACATTGACGATGTGCTGATGATTGCGGCCCTGGTAAGTGATTCACCTGCGGCCCTTTTTGCTATCAATTTACCTCTAATGTGATGTCTGTCTCCGTCTTAGATTCTAACCCTCTCTTCCATGGGGCTTTTAACCAATTCCGTCCGGCATGGCTTTGGCAAAGACCTCGAGAGTCTGGAACTGTCAGATTTGGAAGCAGTGTTGAAAGACATTGCCATTCAGGTACCGCTCGTCACGTTCAGCACCGGAATTGCCCGTTCGTCGTTCGTTCTCTACTTGCTCGGAATCCTTGGCGGAAAGAAACCATACCAGATCGCGCTCTGGACAGCCATGATGCTGCAGCTAGTCTGCAACATCATCGCCGCCGTTTTACCACTCAGCATTTGCCGCAATGTCCGAGCATTATGGGTTCCCGGAACGGAGACTACCTGCGGTAACACGGTTGCGGTCATTCGCTTTGCCTACTTCCAGTCCTGTACGCATCTGATCCCCTACACATTTGACCGAAACTCTGGACTGATTGTTTGAACCAGCCATCAATACCGCGACCGACTTATTCCTGGCAGTTTTCCCTACTGTGATCTTCTGGAATTTGAATCTAAAACTTCGCATCAAGATCAGTTTGATCATCCTGCTGAGTTTGGGTATTGTGTAAGTGGATCATTCCTCGTTTGATCGGCTCGCGCTAAGACCGCACCACCAGCGCTATGATTGCGTCTATTATCAAAACCACCAAGCTCGACCAAGTGCCTAGTGTGACCAATATTGGCGCGTCCGGAGGCGTGGAACTGATCCGCTGGGGTTACACTGAGAACGTGATCATCATCATGACCTCATCCATCCCTTGTATCCGACCACTTTTGATCTCCTCTGTGAGGAAATTCTCCAGCAATGCCAAGTCACGCTCCTACGAGCTCACTGGACCCTTCAGCGGCAACAAAGGCAATACGAAAAATGGCACTGCGCCATCACAGAATCAGGAACGGAGGGATGATGACGCCGACAGCGTCGAACAAATCCTGCGTGAGGCCTACCAGCAGAACTCAGCGCTGGAGGCCGGCCGTGGTATTACGAAACAAGTCGACATCTCGGTAGTGTCTGATGGGTCATCTTTTGGACGATGAACGAGCACTGAACAACCTACTTTGACGAGACCATTCGCTCTTTAGATTTCTATCTTTTCTTTCTCTTCCTTTTCGGTTCCTATTTTCCGATAATGTCTTTCCTCTTCTGGCCATGTGCGATATCTAGAATACCATACTGATGACGACGGGCACAACTGTCATGGTAGGCAGTCTACGACTATGCTTAATGAATTTGGTTTCACTTTTGGGAGAAATTTATACACCTGAGGCATTAAAATTGCTATTTTCCTGTTTCTGCTTGTCAGCCCTGGAGATTGAGATGGTGATGGCAGCGGGATTGGCTGAAAGCCACCCCCACCGTGTCATTTCCCAAGAGCAAGTGACAGCCAGCCGATGCCCTGAAAAGCAGGATGTCTCAGTCGTGAACCATGGAAACAGTAGCGATCTATTGGCATACGGAACCGTGGAGCGAGGAAGGAAGGGAGGGAGGGAGGGAGGTTCAAGGGAGAGGGTGCGGTGTCTCCACCCAGCCTGATTAAACTTTTTACGCAGTGGCCACTGCGTGCCAACATCCATGAATCCATCGATCGAACCCGGCTCTGCACCGGCCGGTGCTTGCCCGAACGGTATGTTGGCCCGTCTCTGCTGCGACAACTCGACAAGGACCTGAATTTGGGGTTTGCGGAGGATGTCCCTATCTTATCTCCTCTGTCCTGCGATCTGCATGATCTGCTTTTTTGGTCGGTCTCGCCGGGGACGGAGTTCAACGCTTTCAGTTCTCCGGTGACTGGGGATACAGAATGAACAGTGATCGAGCAACCAGTGACTTTTTTTTTCTTTTCTCGAGGGACCCAGTTTGCGCAAGGTGGCAAGGGAAAAGAGTTCCGCCAAATTGCCGATTAAAGTTTCCTTTGTCTTTCTGGCCGATGAATCGAAGCGTCTCTGGGAACAACGCCTTCTGGAACGGACAAAAGCATCAAGCGTCGATAGAGGCAAACCCAACTGCAGAAGCACCTCAAGCTTAATCGACTGGATATGACGAGATAGACCCGCACCCATGTGGTGCAAGTGACGATCTTCGCGTGTGAAGCATATTCAAAACCACCGTTCATCCATAGTTGCTTCAATTTTGGTTTACGGGACATAACCTCAATCCGTCCAAATTCAAACCCATATTTGTGTTTATGTTTTGGATCTGAGGTCATTCACCCATGTTATGCAGATCCGCGCCGGAATTCCCGATCATGTTGAACGAGTCATACTGACTCCGACCCTTAAGCATTGAACGGTTTGTTGGTGGCACTGTTTCCAATTTCTCTGTGTCACTCGATCGTATCGTTCCTGGAGTGTGGCCTCCATCCAGGGAGCTATTGAGTCAAGTGTCTTGTGCTACAAAGCTCGGCATCCATCGTATTACCCGTACTGATGGCTTCGGCTTGTTGACTGTTCCCGTTTGGCTCACCCTTATCCTCGTGGACACAGCCTTCTTTGCGCAGTCGGCTTTAGGGACTTGGGGGCTAGGCCCGACGATGCTATTCTCAGAGGTGGAACCTGCAAAGATGCAGTAGTACAATCCTGGTGCGCTTCACGTTGGTGAGCTCGTGCAGGAAATAAATTAATAATAAGCTTGACTAGACTCAGTTCTTCTCGGAGGCATCCAGACTAGTCTAGCCTTTCTTTGCTTGACGCCGACAGCCTCGGAGCAGAGAGTAGATGGGCTCCGTGTTGAAGACTCCGCGGACCTTTTCTTATCCTCGCCCCTGAGCCGAGGCACCATTGCAGCCTGGCGGTTTCATGCCTTAGGCATCAAAGTTGAAGATCAGGTGATAAGCTTATCCTTTTTGGGAAGAGGATGTGCAAATAGGCAGTAACCATCATCTTATACTAATTCACAATCAATCACCCTACTGTTCATCAAGTTTGTAGCACATTCCACCTCACTTATTACAAACCTGGCGATAAAGCTTCTGGCTCACTATCGTGATGTCACAGTCAAATAACCACAGAGTTATATCTTGACCTTTGCCTCGATTGGGTGGAAGAAGGCTTCTCCTGCCAGGCCACCAGACACCCGCCTACTATGCTTCACCATCTTGATTATGATTATCTTCATCCTCCATTTCAGTGATCTTACTCCGGAGTACATGAGCAGCTACAGAATTGATTATCCTTAATCACTCCAGCTGATCCAGCCCCAACTTCAGCCCCGCCAATCATGTGCATCTCACATGTCGATCTTTTGATTGCGGGGTAGTCTATCAATCGTGATCTCTTTCGATGCCAGCAAGCAATCCCAGACCAAAGGTGGTCGCTGCTTCGATGGCTAAGATTTCGAAGCTCCGGCTTGGAAGTCTTGTGTGATGACTTCCATCCAGACGCGAAAAAGCCACAAACTCGTCGCAACCCTTTTGAACCACTGTCATCCTGGCCAAGGCTCTTCGGTGCAACCGTCACGATGGCTATCACGTCATCGACGCCCAGATTGTGCCAATCCAGAGCCAACCACCAGCCCAGAGTCGAGCGCATCAAGACTCAAGCTTGAACTCTCACTGACACCTTTTTTACACTAGAGCTGCGTCTATGACTTGATAGCGGGGGACACGGCAGACAAGGCCTGGTCAGACAAGTCATACACAGGGGCCTTCCCGCACTGACACCGCGTGGTCTGTTATCTGATTGCACGACAGGCAAGAGGTATTTGGGATGAATGGACGGATCCCTAGCCTACTATCATCGCCCAATCCGGCCCTGGCACGAGGAGCACGCAAGCGACAATCACGGAATGACAGGGGTATAACTTGAGATTCCCATTATGTCCCGCTTCTCGGCCGGTTCTATATAACCACCGTTCTTGCGCTGTCTGCTTCTCATTTCTCTCGGGACTCTTCTGGCTTGAGCACGTTGATCTCGACCTGTACACGAACCAGCTGGCCAGCGATTGAGCCATCACGATGGGGCGAAAGCTTGGTCTCTTCCGGGCTATTTGCCTGGTGTCTGCTAGTTGCATGGGCTCTTTTGCCTTTGCCTTTGACACCGGTGTCATCAGTGGGTGATACCATGCTCAAGCTTAATAGTGTAATCTTTGGATACTCATACAGTTCCCTACATCAGGCGGCGTCCTCACCCTATCCTCATTTCAGAATGATTTCGGATATACTACAGCTCAGAAGACCTCGGTGAATTCCAATGCTGTTTCCATCCTTCAAGCAGGCGCTTTCTTCGGCTGCTTCTTCACGACTCCCATTGCGAAGTATCTCGGTCGACGACTTGGGCTCATTGTCAGCTCCTTGGTCTTTACTGTTGGCACCATCCTGCAGGTCGTCAATTCCCACACGCTGGGCACCTTCTATGCTGGTCGTGTTATCGCCGGACTCGGCATTGGAGCTGCTACTGTATTGATTCCGGTGTACGCGGCCGAGATGTCGCCCAAAGAGTTTCGGGGTCGGCTCGGGGCATGCTTCCAGCTCTTCTTCACTCTGGGGGTCATGATCGCATACTGGGTGACATACGCTGTGGCCAAGGATCAACCGTCCGCAACCAAACAATGGCAGATCGCGCTCGGTCTGCAATTGCTGCCTTCTTCCCTCCTTCTGTTCGGGATGTTGGCCGTTAAAGAGAGTGCCCGCTGGCTCGCGTCCAAAGGCAGGATTGACCAAGCCCGGGAATCGCTCAAATGGGTCCGCGGCGGCGAGGAGACCGAGGAGCTCCAACAGGAGTTCGACGAGATCCTGGCCGGCATCGCGGAGGAAGCCCGCATCAAGGAGGGCTTCACTTTCCGCGAGCTGCTCCTCCCGGCCAACCGGTACCGCCTGTTCATCGCCTTTACCATCCAGTTCGCCGCTCAACTGACAGGGAATACGTCATTGGCGTACTACGCGACCCAGATTTTCTCAGCGGTGGGGGCCGGCAATTCCAGCAAGCTCGTGACGGGCTTCTTCGGGCTGGTCAAAGTGGTCGGCGTGTGCGTCTTCCAGCTCTTCGTCCTCGACCGCGTCGGCCGCCGCTGGCCGTTCATGGTCGGCGCCGCCGCCATGGGCTCCTTCATGCTGATCATCGCCTGCGTGCTCGCCACCCACCCGACCAACGCGTCAGCTACGCACGCCTCCCCGGCCGGCATCGCCATGATCCTTATGACCTACTGCGAAGCCTTCAGCTACAACATGTCCTGGGGTCCGCTCCCCTGGCTCTACGTCGGGGAGATCTTCAGCAGCCGCATGCGGGAGATCGGGGTCACGGTGGGGGCGTCGTCGCAGTGGTTGTTCAATTTCATGATGTCGCAGATCACGCCGCATGCGATCGACAACATCGGGTGGCGGATGTTCCTGATGTTTGCCATCTTCAATTACGCGGTGGTAGTCTACGCGTACGTGTTTTTGAAAGAGGTACGTTTTTACTCTTCTCTTGGCTTCTAGATCGGCGTGTGATCTCGAGTAAGCTAATTTATTGCTTCCGGACATAGACCTCGCAATACTCCCTAGAGGAGATGCAGCATGTCTTTGGTGGAGATAGGTCTTCTGCGGCTGAGAAGATCGTAGAGACTGGCGAGGCGGGTCGGGCCTCTGAAGAAGTAACAGAGGAGACTGGTGGGCACACGCATGTCACGACGCCGAAGGTGGAATGAGAGGTCGGTGTCAGTGGAGGTTTGTGCATATCGGGGATGCTTCCTGACCGTCATCTACAAATTTGAGTTCGATGGATCCAAGATCTAGACAGTAATTGAATGAGGATACAATTTACCCTTCTAAGCTTTTGTCGTGAGGAAAAGTATGAGTCGTAGCCAACGCATCTTTCCATCATTCAACCTTATCCTCGAACGGCCATGCCTTCTCCCACACTCTGCGTTCCTCAGGGGTCCTCGATCCCCGATCCAAGAACCTCTTCTTAGCCACTTCCAATCTTCTGGCCATCTCATCATAGTCACCAGGCGGAACGGCGCCATTCCACCCCGGATACACCCCCAATTCCTCGATCACCCGGGCTTTCCTCTCAACATCTCCCTCCCATCTGGCGTACTCTTCAGCTTGCCTCACCAAGTCCCGCTCGGTGTACTCCAAGGGACACCCCAACCAGCTGCCTCCAGACCCCATCCCCCGCCACAATCGCAAGCAACCTCCGAACATGCGGCTCCCCGTCATCAAGAACCGATCTCACCAGACCTAGTAGATCCGACTGCACAGTCTCGCGGTATCTAAATGCATGCAACAAATCCGGTGCTTCCTTGTACACCTGCGTCTCGTAGTAAAGCCGCAGCGTCTACGCGAGGAACATCTCCGCGGCCGCCTTCTTCTCTAGCGGGGTTTAGGGCATCGATACCCTCCGGAAGTCTCGGCCGAACAAACCGCTCAGGCTTCGGCCCGTCATACTCGATGTTGTCCAGATGGAGGTCGTTGTGCCAGAGTATGCCCTGGTTGAGGGCTTCATCTTTGGGAAGGAGGTGGTGATATATACTTAGGAAGTCTTGCAAAACCGACAGCTTGGTTTGCTTTGCGGGGTAATATCCACTGGGTCCATTGAAGATGCCCTGTTGGTGGTCTCGAGGAAAGCTGGGGAGTTGGTGGATGTAGGCTTGTTCGCGCTGGATTAGGGCGTGGATGGTGTCCTTCGTGCTCGGCCCTGAGATGCTTTTAGTTTATGTGCGAGGGTTTGTATAGGGGGCTAGTAGAGGGTGGCGCTTACAGGGGCCTCTATGGATGTCCACCGCCGCTCGCTGGTCGTCAAACCATGCTCGGCCGGTGGTTGGTCCGATCGCGAAGACATCGTCACCGGCGAGAGCCTCGGACTCGGCGACGTCCTCGCGCAGGTACAACGAGCCGTGGGCTGGAAACCTCCCCGAAGAAAGTCGAGAAGTGATTGAGCCGAGTTGCTGGACGATGGACAGTTTCTCGCGCGGCTTGAGAGTCTCCCACACACGGCTCAGCTCGATCCCGCGGGCTTTCTCCATCACGATGTACTCCGCGTCTAGCTGGCTGTCGCCGGCCCGGGAGCAATACGCTAGGACTTGCGGGACGGGGAGGTGGAGGTTCTCTCTTGCCTTCGTGGGAGTTGAAAGTGGATGTTAGATTTACTATATGTGCTGGGTCTGTGATTGGATCCGGAACAGAGACTCACATATCGCATCGTCGCTACTTCCTATGCAGTGGTATAGTGGGCCGGTCCGGCGTTCGGATTGGGGATCTTGACCACGAGCTACCCGGCCATCCCGCATGGTCGCCAGCAACGCTTTGTTGAAGTTCCCTTCGGGGAGTTTGGAGATGGAGGCGCACACGGCATTGTTGCCGGCCGGCTTGCTCGGCGACGTAGATCAGAGCAGGGAGGTCAAACGCACGATATCTGCGCTGCAGCTGCTGGGTTTCGTTCCAGAGCCAGCATTGCGCGGAGTAGGTGTAGAGGGTCTCGAGGTCGCATTCTACGGGTGTGAGATGGTGAGCTATGTCGATACTCGCTGCAGAGCAGCCAACTAACACGGGGGTTAATACCTGCTAATCGTGGTTTCGGATCGCGCTCCCTCGGCAGTTTATGCAGAGAATACTTGATTATTGACCCATCGATGCATAATATCGACTATGTATCTACCGTGCCAGTAGGTGCGTTATGCGCCCACCTGGCACTCGGGAAGGAAGTAGGTCGAAGCACAGTACCGGTACTTGGTGCTCTCGAGTGATTGACTTCAATGATCTTTTTGTTAAGTCGTACGACTGCAGATGCCAATTCAATACGGGGTACGGCGTAACTTACGGAGACTCATGATCAGTTCCTGATGATCAGCGGATGTGACTTCTCCTATCTGACACCTCGGAAGATCCTGCATGTTCTCAGATTGTCAGAGAGACACAAGTAATTTCGAAAAGGCAAGCAACCCTGTTCAGACAGATCAAGATGCATCAGTAGCACAAACTCGACCTTTCCGGGAATGAAAGAGCCCCATATATCAATCATGTCCCTGCAAGAGTAATGAACTATGATAATATGGCTATAAGTTAAGGCCTGGTCTCTCGGGTTATTCAAGATCGATAATGGACTGACCTGTGGTCATATGAAGCCCGCTGTTGAGGACCGAAAAGGGGATTAGGCAAGCTCCCGTACTCACCTGCTGTTCTCTCTTTTGAAAAGGCAACCTACAGCTGTCTGAAGATGCTGAAGCGGTCTGTGCTCCTGCTGATAACCAGCATCGGTCTCTCCAAGCTGTCACTCAGTTGGCTCGGATCTGCATCGTCAACCTCACGTTCGGAGCCACATAGTAGTTCAAGCATCCCACCAGGGCCAAAAGTGCCCGAGTGCATTGAATCCTGGGAAACGTACAAGAGCTATCAGCAGCGACGCCAGACCTCTACCGGCTTGACAGCCCGAAAGGTCTTGGTCGCGGACCTCGAGTCTCGTGTTCCCTCGTCCGAACTTGTGGAAGATGCGGATCCCTACCAAACGACGGTGTTCACTGGCGGAGTCTGACTCGAGATAGACCAGGAGGATATCCTAGGGCACGGCGCCAGTGGATTTGTCTACGGGGGCACCTGGATACCGCTGAGTGACGCATCCAACCACCAGCTGGATCTCCTGGGTCAGCAGGACGTGGCAGTCAAGGTCTCGCACGACCCATGGCTGCTATGGGAAGCCCATATGATGAATCTGGTGCAGGGCGACCACGTTATCAGGGCCACCGCTACCTTCACGATCCCCCAGCCCAACGACACCCAGGCGCATAATGGAGCCGTCTACGCGATGGTCATGCCGAGGGTACGCGGCAGTCTGCAACTGTGGGCAAACGAACTGCCGCCCGCCAACCGGGCACGACAAACGCTGCCCGTCATGCTGCAGATGGTCGAAGCGCTGGTCCAGCTCCACCGACAGGGCTTCGCGCACCAGGACCTAAAGCTCGGAAACATGGTATATGACCGCACACCGACCGGAGAGATGCGCGTCCTGATATCGGACCTGGATCGGATCACTCGTTCGCGGGATGTTCGCGGCAGCGCGGGGACGCTGGGGTATCTCTCGCAGGGTAGGTGACAACTCTGCCTTCTTCTTTCTCTCCTGGTAGTGTTGTACGTGATAACAGCTGAGACCGCTAACTCGTAGCAGAAATCCTATTGAGAAAAACGTTTGATCCTATGAGCTCTGATGTCTTCGCGATGGGTATGGCTCTGCTTCAGTTGGCTTTCGATAGCATGTCCAGTCATGACTTTCGTATGCTGGTGTGGAGGACTGTGGTGATTCAATATGAGTTAGTAATTGCTCAACCTCGGCATTTCCCAATCGGGCGACTAGCCAAAATGCGCAATGCGCACTGTACCTTAGTATAGATCGTCATGTTGTAGACCCAAAGTCTGTACCTCTGTACCTTGGGACGAAAAAGAGAGGTAGTTACTTTCGATGACATCAGTCAGATTGAGTTAACCACCGAGTAATGATATACTCACCAAGGTCAAAGGTCACAAAATTGGGGAATTGAGAATTACCCCGACCTCGGCATTCGCGCCGACCGCATTCCCCGCATTTCCGCCTCCACACCGATTCCTCCTCCTCCTCCTCCTCCTCCTCCTCCTCCTCCTCCTCCT